GAGTAATTGCATGTTTTTTTGTTTTTTTTATGGTGGTGGTGTGATATTTGTAAATAAGTCTCCTGGACTCTAGTAGAGCTATTCATAGTGTCTTGTAATGTGATATTAAAGAACTACGTGAGATCAGCGTACATGTAAGGTACCTTGTAGACGGAAATCTAGATGAAAAACCCAACCAAGGGTAATGGCAAAGGGATCTGATGGTAGAGGCTGGGTGTCTAGTGGAAAGATCAGTGCTAGCTCCCATCCTATTTAATATCTCCACCAAGAAGCAGTGAAATGGAGTAAAAACAGCATGTCAACACAATTAGGCAGTGTTGCGCACACATGAGAAATTGGAGTGGAGTCTGTTTAAGATGCTAGTTGTGCATGGCCCCATGAAAAGGCTAGAAAGCAAACGTGATGGATACAACCTAATGTCTCTGAAACCAGATAATAAAGAACAAGAGGAGAAAGACTCTTGAAAGGCCATGCTGCTGGCAAAGAATGGACAGACGACCAACCGGATCTCAGCTTGCAGTTCAATCGAGCAGTGACAAAACAAAAAAGCCCATGTGACTTTGGGCAGCCGAAGTCTCTCATTGTAACTGTGTCTTTCTCAGTACAGTGCTGGCGAGAACGCTCCCAAAGACTGTGTTCAGTCCTAAGCATCTGAAAGGGTCTGATTAAGGTCCATAAATAATTGAAGAGTGTGAACAGTAAGGGCAATGAGGAAATGAAACTGTTACAATGGCGGTAACTGGAAGTAAGGGGGCAAAATTAAGCTGAGGAAAAACCTACACGCAGTAGCAGGATGTATTTTTTACCCTCACAAATTTAGATTTGTTTGACTGTGAAATAGACTTACAACGGAATATTGGTAGTTCCATTCCTTTAGTCATTTAAATTTTGACTGGACAAAGCGCTGGCTAATATACTATAGAGGACAGTCGTCCTGCATTAGCAGGGAAATCTCGAATTATAGTATTTTAATAATAAATTAATAGGAAAAATTGATTTCTGTCTCTGTATGCAATGCTGCAGCATTTCCGTTCAAGACTGCTTTCACCTGCTTTTCTCTAGATGGTTGGGTTGCTTGTAGATTCCATTTTTTACCAATGAAAAAATGCAGGGGTCCAACTAGCAGTAGGAGGCAAAAGTGATATTCAGACATTGAGATCTTGTGCTGCTGAAAACAAAGGTGCTTCGTTTTGTCTGTTGCAGATGAAAGATGAAATATGAGGCTAGAAAAGTGAATCTTATGAGCAAGTATATATGACAAGCAGAAAGTGTTACACTTTTACAGATTGGAGAATTTAAGATTGCCTTCTTGATGCTGCTTGAAAGGCACAATCGGTTGATCAGTGTTAGTGGTGAGAGACGATAATAGGGCCAGTTTAGAGGTACAGTTTTATTGTTTCATTGTACTTCATTGCCATTTTTACTGTATTCCTTTTAACAGGTCATAGAACCTGAATGAATTTAATTGTTTATCCCTATTCCTTTACCAAAACATAGATTCAGTATATCTAAAACTAGCGGGAGTTACCCGGCATTGCTCGGGAAAATGGAGGAACAAAATTTAGAAAAACAGTAGTCCATTATCATTTTTTGAATGATAGAGTTCTATAGGGATTAAAATATATTTTTAAAAAAGTATAAAACAACCAATTTTACATGTTATCATCAAAAGCTTTATTGTAAACTATAGTTTTGTTTCATTATTCTTAACAAATATGTACACATTTTTTTCACTTCCAGCTCTTGAACATGCAACATAGAGTTGTCTATGTGAAAAGCAAGACATCTCCAAATCAATTCCAGCTTCTTTAAGTGACTGTCCCTGCGCTTTCTCAGTATACGTTGTTGAAATACAAGTTGACAGTTGATATAACTGAGATGAGGAGCCTTAGGGAAGGGAGCTGTGCATCTGCCGCCGGCGCCCAAGCCCGCCCTTCACTGCCTTGTCCCTCCGCCGGTCTTAGTGAGTGATTGGGCGCACCGCTTCTCCTGGGAAGCCGCTTCTCCCCGCACTGCCAAGCTCTGTGCAGCCCCAGGGAGAAGCGTCGGTCTCTCATCTCTTCCCTCCCACAGTCCCTTAAAACCTTCTCCTGGATAAAAGGTTATCCCATGCGAAGTTTGGTTGCAGTAGCTCTTATAGTGTCCAAGTTATTAGCGCACAAACATTCTCCTTTATATGTTAGATAAGGGTTGTTTTTCCACATACCATGAAGCTTCCCAAAAATTGGAAGGAGAAGGCTCCTGCTTACCTCCATGTCTCTTGGGACACTTAAGTTCTTCTCTCCAACCCTGCCCTGTGCTCTTCAGAGTAAGAGAGAATACGCAAAGGACTTGACTGCCATACACAGCACCTTGCTGTTAACTTTCCTGGGGCCTGCAAGTAGCCTCCATACCTGCTCCGCATGCACCTACTTAATAGATGGACATATTTTGGGAGATCTGCATAAAGTCACGGAAAGTTATTGTTGGCGCTAAAACACAGCCTGTGAACTCTGACTCTCCTTTAGCCCCTAGAGCAGCCATGGCCAACCCACGGCTTGTGAGCCGTATGCAGCTCTTGCCCCCCAAAAGTGCTGCTCGCGAAACTGCTCCTGGTGTCCCTGTGATTACTGGGTCAGAGCTGCAGGGATTTAAAAATGGCACCTATGATGGCGGCCATCTTTTTTTGTTTTTTTCCTCGACAATTCTGTTCTGGAGGACTTTTTTTGTTGTTGTTGGTTTTGGGGGTTTTTTTTGTTGTTGTGTTTGCTGCTTGATAATTCTGGTGCAGTCTTCACATTTTTTCCGCTGCTATTTTGGCTCTTTTTGTTAAATGGGTTGGCCACTCCTGCACTAGAGCAGTGTTTCTCAGTCCCTTTCAAACAACCGACCGCTTTTCAAGAACGACATCCCCTCCCCCTATTATCCCCATCAATGCAGGGATTTTAAGTTCCTCCATTGGGGTGCTTGTGGTGAGTGGAGGACAGTTGGGAAATTGACACATGCTGGGTCGTATGCTGCTTGTTCATTCCTGAGTCATTTCACCTGGGAAAAGATGAGTTAATCAGCATCTTTCTAGGCAATGTCCCTTCTGTCACCTGGAACTACCATCATGCACTTTGAGAGCAGAGACATTAATTATGTTGCCAAAAATGTTAAATAGAAAAGTCTTTGTAATTAGAATGCAGTGTAATCTTTGATTCAAGTTTACACATACTGTTTAGCTGACGTATCTCATACTAGAGGCCTCAAATAACTAGGAGTTGGATGCAGAAGCATTTAATTTCCTACTATTAATCTATGTCCAACTCATCCGATGAAGTGGATTTTATCCATGAAAGCTCATGATCTAATATATTGGTTCGTTTCTAAGGTGCCACAGGATGGCTCGTTGTCATTAATCTCCTAAAAAATAAGTAGTCTTGTGGCACCTTAGAGACTAATCAAAATATATATACAGCTTTTGTGGGCAAAACCCACTTCTTCAGATGAGGTTGAAGCTTGAAGCTCATCTGAGGAAATGGGTTTTGCCCACAAAAGTTCATAACACTATACTTATTTGGGGTAATCTCTAAGAGTACGTCTACACTTGCTCCCTAGTTTGAGCTAGGGATGCAAATGTAGGCAACCGATATTGCTAATGAAGCGGGGATTTCAATATCCTGCGCTTCATTAGCATGATCTTGCCGGGGCGTTACTCCGCTCGGCAGCTGATTCGAACCAGGAGGGATTTCAATATCCTGCGCTTCATTAGCATGATCTCGCCGGGGCGTTACTCCGCTCAGCAGCTGATTCGAACCAGGAAGTGGGCGCCAGGACGCATTAAAATTTTGAGGAGTAACGTTAGTTCGAACCAAGGGGTTCGGTTCGAACTAGTGTGTTCCGGCACCCACTTCCTGGTTTGAATCAGCTGTTGAGCGGAGTAACACCCCGGCGAGATCATGCTAATGAAGCGCAGAATATTTAAATCCTCATTTCAGTCGCCTACATTTGCATCCCTAGCTCGAACTAGGGAGCAAGTGTAGATGTACCCTAAGATGCCACAGGACTACCCATTTTTTTTAAAGTTACAGACTAATATGGCTACCCCGCTGAGACTCATTAATCTCCTAGTCACTGCTTCAGGTATACTCCCAAAGTTACTACCACTGGACAGCTGTCTGGCAACTGATGTGAAACAAGTTGGTGGTTTTCGCCCTGTCCTTTCTGGACAGATACCCACAGGATAGCCACAGCAGAACTGACAGTAGTTAGCAGTCTCAGTGGAAATTGCAAGGAGCAAATGAAACATGGAGACTAAACTAGCCTCTTTGCCCATATTAGACAAGATTAAAGGTGGGCAAAAAAAAACCCTGATTCAATAATAAATTTGCTGAAAAATTCCATAATGGGGCAAATTCAGTGAATAGTTTGTCCAATAAAAAAATTGTGTTTTAATATCAAAATTGTTTTTTTTTCAACATTTTCAAAATGCTCCTTTCAGCTTTTCATTTTGAAACAATCTTTTGAAATGTAACTCTGAAGGAAACCACAAAAGTGTGGAAAATACACATCAAAACTAAAAGGTGAAAAAAAATCCATTTGGGGTTGGCTGAAACGGCTGTTGGTGTTTGTTTTAGTAAGGAAAAAAAGTCGGTTTAGGTTCAAAATAACTGAATTTGGGGGGGATTTTTCAGGTTAGCTATTGAACAAAAAAATCAGTTATTTTCTCAGCTCTAGTGAGTTCCTCATGTGGTGTAAATCTGTGTTGCTCCATTGACTTCAAGGAATGTGAGGATCTGGCTGCTTTTGTCCTTTTAAGGAATGCAATAGAAGCGCATTTGCGTGGGAAAGTGTGGCGAATACCACACGGCAGCTGTGGATAAATGGAGAATTACACTCTTTGTTGACTCCTTGTGGAACTATTCAATAGTATTGTACATTTTCATAATATGTAGCAGAGTATCAAAGGAGAGCATCAAATCTCACACACCAAGTAAGATTTGCCTTTTCCTAACATTGCCTTTGTTGGCTTCCTTTAGGAGCATTGCTCAGTCTGATGAAAAGCTGGTTATCAGTGCATCCTGGGCTAAAGATGATGACATCACCAGGCTGTTGAAGTCTTTGCCCAACTGGGTCAACATGGCTCAACCCAAGCAACTGAGGCCAAAGAGAGAGGAAGAGGAAGACTTTATAAGGTAATATGGTTTTCTTTTGTTGCTGTTCTAATAAGTTTTGAAGCTACAGTAACAATGATGGATTATAATTATAAAAATTGCCTCTTAATTTGTAATGTTTGGCTAATGTTTATGACCCCAGAATTGAAACCACTTAGCCATGTGCTTAAGTCCATCCTTATTCAGCAAAGTATTTAAGCATAGGCCTATGTGCCCATTTAATCTCACAAGCCTTCAGAG